ATTCCAATATATCACACTGACAGTCATTTTGTCGGGATTTTTCTGGGCTGGGATGTTCTTGCTGATCAAGTGCATGAAGGATATGATGCACACCCCCCAAAGGATACTCCCTATCAGGGGACTCCCTACCGTCCGCGCAGCCCTCCCCGTCCTCCGCTCAATCCTCTTTTTGTGAGGGCTGCAGAGCGCTTCCCCACCTTCACATATCTCATGCACATGTACAATCCCAACACTGAGTGCCCAGTGTGCACGAACCATTTTGAAGAGGGGGCGCATGTGACATTGCTTCTGTCATGCAAGCACTACATGCACATGGAGTGCTTGACAGGGATGTTAGTTGCACATCGGCGCAATGCCTTGTGTAGAACAGAGATGGATCTGGAGGATGGCCATCCCCATGTTGAGCCACCAGCTTAACCCCTAGTAGGTATGAATTAATGTTTGTTTATTTATTTATTTAAGCTAGGTAAAATATAAGATAATGGTTGTTAGGATCCTTAATTATTCTATCCCGATATTGTTGTTAGTAGGACTCATAAAAGATGAAAGACCATGTATAGAAAGTATCGGCTTGGCTCTTTGTATAATGTAGTGGAATTGTGTACTAATTGTGGCTTATTATTCACATGTAGATTACTTTGCTTTAGATCTTCCTCCTTGTACTTCACATTTGTCTATGTCTTTCTTATACATTCTGAAAGTTTGCAATGTCTTTTATACAGGTAATAGGATGACAACTTAGATTTTACCTTGATTATAAAATTTGAAGCTCGTTATTCTCATCAGCAAAAAAGAACTTGCTTGAAGCTGTGTCGACTCGATTACTATTGAAGTTTCAGAATTGGCTTATTTCAGAATTAATTTAATTTGATGAGTAATGTGAAATAATCGTGCCTATAGGATTTACTGGGAGTCTTTTACAAGGGGCTGTATCCTGCTTGACAGGGTAATTATTTTGCTTTCATATTTTTTGCCACATTTTCCAGAATTATTACAGATGATATTTAGAGTATTCGGTTCTACCTAGAGTAAAATTTGTCTCTTCATGTTGAAACTATCTGCACAAGAAGCTCTATTCAGTTTTACTACTTTTGTTTGCACACTGATGGAGAGTTCAGAATCCAAAATATTAATTTGCGTTATTTTCTACACTTAGGTCAGTGATATTAATTAGCAAAAAAGGAATGATATGCTATTTGGGGACCTGACACTAATGTTGTGTTGGAGATGAAATGCTGGATATTATATTGTAGATCAGTAACTTTACTAATTTACAGGTATAATTTGTTGCTGATTGTCTATCAAGTAGTACACGATAAATGGGAAAGTTCACATTAATATAAATCAAGGATGACGATATAAGGATGATAAGCTTTTGTGTATGGAAGCATACATACAAATTAAGGATAACAATATAAGTAGTTTTGCATCTTTTACTATCAAGACAGTTTAAATCCATACTTTATATGAGCCGATAATATCGATTTCAAGCATCAATTAGAGTTCCAGTTTTGTTTGTATCAAGTTAGTTCAAAAGGTGAAGTGATTTGGTGGCATAATTAAGGTTAGATATTCAGATTCACAAACAAACTAGTACCTCATTGACTGCTCAACTCAAGGTTGAGGTGATGAGTAAGTAGCTATTTTGTTTAAGATTAACTACTCGTACTTGGGAACATGTTTTTTCTTAGAAATTAATAATTTGCAACTTTTTGTAATTGACAATTCTTCTGTGTTTTTTTTATTAAAATTTTCAGGTTATTGACGATTGTTGAATTTTTTTGACAACGTGATACTTTTGTAATTGTTAACTTATACAGTGTCCCTTTTTTTTTTGTCTGCCGCGGGCGGTGCGTCAGCTGGCTTCTGTTTTTCGTTTTGTTGGTTCCACTACCAGTGTACCACCAAGGAATCCGTTTCATTCCTTTGTTATGTAGTAGTTGAGTCATCACTATCTTCTCTTCTTTGCTGTTGGGAGCTAGGGAAGCGAAGTTGATGTTGTCTGGTTGGTGACGACAAAGGTCCTCTCCCTACCGATCACATCCACTTCCGTTTCCCTCCGCTCACAAATTTTGTTACTTTTGTATTCTTGTAATTGTTTCACTCTCCTTTTAATACATATATTTTTGAACAGGGTCCCTCACCCTGTTTTTAGCTTCAAATAAAAAAAAATTAAAAAAAAGGCGTGATCGAGAATAGGCACCTGTAATAGTTATTTAAATGTAATCTACTACAGAGTGTTGCACATGCTGACGCTCGCATATATTGAAATTTTAGCCGCCTATTCTGTGAGTGAATGAAGCTGTACACGAAGTTGTATTAAATGCTGGTAAAAGTCAAAATTTCACAAGGGCTATATATATAAATGGATTCGGATCCTCTCCACTACAAAAAAAAATAGTGGAGGGACCACTACATAATCACAGTCATTGATTATCTAGTTGATGGTTATGATTTTTTCTTTTAGTGCAAATTAGGAATTAGGAATGTGTGCAATACACGGGGATATGGTAAATGTTAGATTTAGATTGTATCATAACCGCCTACTAAATAATTAATGCTTGAGATTAAAAGTAGTGGTCTCATGTTAGATTTAGATTGTATCATAACCGCCTACTAAATAATTAATGCTTGAGATTAAAAGTAGTGGTCTCTCCACTACTTTTTTGTAGTGGAGAGGATATAATTAATGCTTGAGATTAAAAGTAGTGGTCTCTCCACTACTTTTTTGTAGTGGAGAGGATCCAAATCCTATATAAATAACTTCTGTATTCTTGTATTAAACAAACTATATGTTTTCAACTAAACGTTATTTCTCCAAAGTATGCATAGGTACAATTCGTGCAATTAACAATAAATTAAGATGAAGGGTGAGTATGATGCGAAATATCTACGGCTATAATTCCTGCAGTTAACATTAAATTAAGACCACGGGTGTATGCATCACCCATGCAAAAACTTTATATTATAAATTCTCACATACACAAAGGCCTGCATTTGTTTATCAGCATATTATTTTACTTAAAAACTGCGAATAAAATCCGATAAAACAATTCTGATTTTACCTAAAAATTTCATTCATTATGAAGCTTATTTTTGCTCTGTCAATCCGTGGGTCTAAATCTGGACGAGTATGAGAATATTTGTTTCATGACAATAAATATAAGTACCCCTTGCATTAAAATTATCAACCAGCTTTTTACAAACTACATCGCTTACGAAGAAAGAAGTGCAGGGTTAATATATAAAACGGATGAAAATAACGCAAAAGAAGGTTGATAGAGTACCTCGGTTCTGCGGTGCATTTTCTAGCAGTTATATAGTTTTCTAGCTACAATTGAATTTCATATAGTTTTCTAGCAGTGGTTTGCAACTTATGTACCAAAACTATTGAGTGCAAGTTTGGCATTGTTGCAAATGCTTCGATAAGAAACGTTGTATTCTGTATGGAGTGTGAAGATGCAGAAAAAAAAAGTTTAGGGTAGTTATTTGTAAAAAAACCCAAAGGTCAGGGGATTTTAGAGAAATTAACAACTAAATTTAGTAATTGATTTGAAGAGAACAAGAACAAAGAAAAATTCATTTCACTTATAGCTTGATTGATTTGAAGAAAATGAACCAAAAAAATAAAAATAAAAAGAACAAAGAGAAGAGGACAGTTAGCATACAAACGGAGATCACGATCTGTCCTAAGTAGCGTTAACCCAGGAACAAGTAACAACCAAACAGAGAATAATACGGGACACCGTACTTGATAACCTCAATTGCCATAATCATCCTAGTGATCATAATTTTAGAAGAAAACTTTCAAAAAATGATGTGGTGTTCTCACATCTCATCTCCGATATTTGTGATAAATTAAGAAGTGAAGAGAACAGTGATCAAAACATCTCACAACAGGGAAGCAAATACCCACAGCTAAATACCTACATCCAAGGTTTTCAGCGACATAAATTAGATGATCTCAATTGCCATGATCATCCTAATCATCATTAATTTTTGAAGCAAACTTTCAAGAAATGATGTGGTATTCTGACGTATCATTTCCAGTATTTGTGATAAACTAGTGAGTGAAGAAAACAGTCATCAAACATATCTCGCAACACGGAAGCAAATATCGACAGTTATATACCAACATCCAAGGTTCTCGCCAACATAAATTATAATAGATTTAGATCTGAATATAATTTAGAACATAGGTTTTTCCGGGTCCACTTAGCATATAACATATCTTTGCTATTCTTATTACAAGACTTTTGTTGTGCTCGGATACTAATTGTTACGCGCCGTGCGGAAGCGTGCTCGACAATCAAATGAGTCGATAAGCCACGAGAGAAGAAAACCAAATCAAATACGAGTATGACACAAACCAAACCAAACACAGAGATTTATGTGGTTAGGCAATTTGCCTACGTCCACGAGGAGAGGATAAGGAGATTTCACTATATAGAGGAGAATTACAATGGGTTACAACTCATAAAATCTCACAAAATTGACTCTAACCAAAGCTCTCAACTCACTCACAATATCTCCCTCTCAAAGTGCTCAAAATACCCACTAATCTCTGATTACGATCTCTTCTAAACCGTTCTATATATATATAGAAATCCTAAAACCAAAAACATACTAGAAATTCTAATATAAAAAACAAAACAGATTATGAATCCTAATAATCTGTTACCAAAACAGATTAAGAATCATGTTATCAAAACAGATTAGGAATCCTAATAACCTGTTACCAAAACAAATTAGAAATTCCAATAACCTGTTACTAAAATAGATTAAGAACCTGCTATCCAACCATTCTCCACCTCGGCGAAGTGTTTCCAAAACTAAGCCGATACTAACAAGAGCACTCATGTGTCGTCTCTCCAAATTCGGCTGCACCTATATGGTTGCCTACATACCCCTTTCCCAATGGATCAAGTCGCTCGTAGTTCATTCAAATAGCCATGAACGACCTCAACAATCACAAATTTGTAACAAGTTTCTACAGTGATCAAACTTGTTGCTCGGAACCACCTTTGTAAGCATATCCGGTGGATTATCCTTTGTGTGTACTTTCACGAGCTCTATGTCTCCATCTTCAAGAATATCCCGAACAAAGTGATAATGAACATCAATGTGCTTTGTCCTTGCATGAAAGACCTGATTTTTCGCCAAATAGATAGCACTCATGCTATCACAATGAATGGTGATGGACCGCTACGAAACACCAAGATCCTCCCAAAGTCCTCGAATCCAAATCGCCTCCTTAACAGCCTCCGTAATCGCCATATACTCTACCTCCGTTGTTGACAAAGCCACTGTAAACTGTAAGGTGTATCTCCAACACACCGACACACGAGTCAAAGTAAACACATATTCCGTAGTAGACCAGCGTTTATCCAAATCTTCAGCGTAGTCCGAATCAACATAACCAATACAGAATTGTCCACCACTAGTGCCCCGTTCAAACACCAAACCAACGTTGAGAGTACATCGAATGTACCTCGAAATTCATCTCACGACATCCCAATGACCCGGACCTGGGTCGTGCATGTATCTCAAAACCATGCTCACTACATGTGACAAATCTAGCCTCATATAAACCATGACGTACATTAAACTCCCAACTACGCTCGCACATCGAGTCTTCGGCAATAACTTTCTATCTTCAACTGTCTTCGGTGAAAGGTCAGCTGAAAGCTTCAAATGGGCTCCCAAAGGTACACTAACTGGCTTCGTCTCCATACTCACATTGAACCGCTATAGTACTTTCTTCAAATAAGCCACCTATGTCAAACAAATTCTGCCTCTATCTCTGTCTCTTATGATCTTCATCCCCAAAATACGCTTCGCTTCACCCAAATCCTTCATATCGAACTCTCTCGAAAGCTGAATCTTCAACTCATCTATAGTGGATCTGAAAAATAAAAGCAACCAACATGTCATCGACATAAAGCAATAAGTAAATGTACATATCTCATCGCAACTTGTGATAATACATGCAATGATCAAACTGGCTCCGAATGTACGAATGACCGATCATAAACCCATCGAATCGCCTATACCGTTATCGAGGAGATTGCTTCAACCTGTATAGCGATTTCTTCAATTTACAAACCAATTTCTCCTTCCTTGCAGCTCGGAACCCCAATGGCTGAGTTATATAGATTTCCTCATCAAGATCACCATAAAAAAATATCATTTTCACATCTAACTAATCTAACTCCAAACCATATTGTGTCACCAAAGCTAGCAAAATCCGGATCGAAGAGTGTTTCACCACCGGAGAGAAAACCTCATTATAGTCAATACCTTCCTCCTGTGCATAGCCCTTCGCAACTAACCTAGCTTTGAACCTCACGAGAGTGCCTTCAACGCCCCCCTTCTTTGTATACACTTACTTGCAACCAATTGTCTTTCGCCTCTTTGGAAGCTCGACAAGCTCCCATGTGTCGTTCTTATGAAGAGACTTCATCTCCTCTTACATAGTCACCTGCCACAAATTAGCCTCTGAACTCTGCTCAACCTCTCTGAATGTAGTAGGAACCATCCCGTTGATACTCTCCACCGGAAGTGCATACACAACGACTGTGTCTGTATACCTAGCTGACAACCATATGTCTTTTTTGGATCTTCGAACCGTAATCGAATCCTGAACCTAAACCGTCGGTCCCTGATTCTGCTCAATTGTACCTATATCCTCCAAATCATCATTGTGTTTGTCTGGTGTCAACTTAGTCGACACTCTAATGGATACGGTCCCATCTAGACAATGTGAAGCTGCAAAATCTCCACCACCAGTGATATCTCCTCTGATGAGAGCTGGTAGGCTTCAAGATCGAAGCCTCATCGAATGTGACATCTCTATTCAGCGCAATCTTCTTACCAATTGGATCCCAAAACTTGTAACCTTTGACACCACGCTTGAATCCCACAAATATGGCCTTCCTAGCTCAAGCTTCCAACTTATCAGTCTTCACATGATAAAATGCATGACACCAAAATACATTGAGTTGATCATAATTGCGTACTGGCTCTCCCGACCACATCTCCATAGGGGTCATCCCCTCAATCACAGATGAATGCAGCCTATTAATGAGGTGACTCGCATAAGAAAGTGCCTCAGCCCAAAAGATTTTCTCC